ACAAAGTAAGAAATTGAAGAATGTAGAAAATTCAGAATTGAAGAGCTGGTACACATATTTCATAAATAATAGCTATCAAATACTCTATTTTAACTTATGATCTCATCCCATAGGAAATTATAATTTAATTATACCTGGGTCAGCTACTTAACGAAAAAAATGCACATCATATCGTATTGTAAATTCAGTCTGTCAATGGTGCCTTTACAATGATCAGGAATGCTCGATCGTATAGCTGGTAATAGAAACATTCTTCATGCACGAAATAACTCCGTTTTGATGTTCGGAATATCGATGCTATCCGAAGGGTTAATTACCGTCGTGTCAATAACCGATAGGCATTTATCGAATTCATCGGTGGAATAAATTCGAGATATTCCCGTGAATTTCAATCCTCCTAATAATTCGCTTCGCTAACGTCAGCGGAATAACTCGGCGCATCGAATGCACCACGAAGACTGACGGTAAATTCATCGTTCGTTTTTCGCAGGAAATCGTTTTTATGTGTTCTTGCGCGAGCCTCGCTCGTGCTCGTAATTCTGTTTCCTATTTCACCTTGTTCGCTACTAGACTTTCTACAGTCGGCTCGCTCAAAGAGCGAGACTTTAATACGCGACTGTCGAGATTATTGGAGTTCATTATCACGGAAAAACATAGCCGGCTGTTATGTCGCCGTAGAAAATCGAAGGGACGATTAGCGAAGCGAGAGGAAACGTTGGAACGTTTAATGAGGAATGCGTCAATCAATCGACACGTATGAACCTTCATAATTCCCGCCATACTCGATCGTGTTCTTCCATTGACAGAAACGGACGCCATTATGCTTTCGCGCAGAACGAAGGAATGTAATATCGTACGAGCGTTGCTTTATACTGTGCTAATTTTTTTCAACACTATGTTGATACACAAAGTCAAAGTATTATACAAAATGGCGAATTTCAAGATGTACGGACTCTGATTTGATGATGACAGTTGTAACAATTTACATCTTATAGTTAATACCATTCATTTGAAAATATATAATTTCCAACTGTTCATGTATCTCAATGCTGAAGGATTATATTTAGTCTGTCCTGAAAAATTTACAATTTCTGAATATTTATTTATCCTAACTTCTTGATTCACTGTCCATTTCGAAGAGTCAGACATTTTGTACTATCAGCTAAATCAAGCTAAGAAAGAAATGTGTAGTCAAAAATAGAAGGTTCTATCATTAATATAAAAGTATATAAAATGACAATTACAAAGGATAATATTAACGTAAATACAGTTAGTGAATGAAAGTGAATCAAGATTAACGATATGAACTGTTCAAGTTACACGAGGCGTAAGCTCGTTCCGTTGAGGGTGCAATCGAAGCATTAGAACAGAAACAAGAGGGATGAGCGTGTACACGTGTTCCAAAGATTGCCAAGTACACTCATGTGTTCGTTAACTACGGGGGATAAGGTGCCTATACGTAGGTGACACGTGCTACGAAAATACACGCCTAAGGAGCACGAAGGGAAGCGGCAAGATAAAATTAGAAGGAGAGAAAAGCGCGGTCGTCGAAACGTTTGTTTTACGGTCCCGCCCTGTTCCACGACATTCGCCGCAATTTTTCTTTCCACGTCCACTTACGGCACACAGAAATGCTTCAATTCGGTGAATAGAAGAATCCTCCGAGTTCCGGGGAATGTAAATTAATAATATCGCATGGGACCGTGAAATAATACCTTCCCGAATAAGTAATGGAACTTGCACCATATGGCTTTGCAACGTTTCTTCCACAAAATATAATTCTATGAGTTCTCTTGTTTAAATATTAGTTAATGAAGAAGACTTTTATTACTTCTCTTAGTATTATAGACTTTTATTATTCTTATTAGTAATAAAATTATGAACACAGCGTAAGATAAGAGTAACAATAATAAAGAACGTCATTTAATACTGAAACTACCAATCAGTCAAAATTGATCTCAAGTTTCACATGTTACATTGCAAAGTTTTGCTGTCGTGTTCTTGCCAAAATTTTGTGAAGATAAAAAATGTATAGGTTACTCGATTGCAGTATTATTTATTTTGCCACTTTATTTTTTCTTTAAAAGTAAGTGATTTTTAGTTGCACCGATAGTAAACTCTGATTGTTTCTCTATCAGATTATGTCTCCGCAGGGATTATTTTCAGTGACGTTATTGTATAAGTATAGGTCCTAAAGTATTAATTGGTTCACTCTGCGAACGAAAGTTAATAAAAGTTCGCAAATATTTTAAAAATGAAAAGTAAGTAAAGATACTGAGAAGTTTACAATTTTCCATGAAAATCACTAGTAATTTCATGAGAATGATAGCCAACAGCAAGTGTTCGCACGATGAATTATCTGACAGTTTTGTTACTCACGGAACTCATTTAGCGAACACGTAGTCCCTTGTACTGTTCGTTCTCTTCGTATTTACTTTTTCAGAGGGAACGACGTCTCTGAATGAGTTATCGCGTCGAGGCCTTGAGCCCACTCAATTATCCTAATGAGCAGAAACGCCAATAGACTGCCACATTTTGGGGGGTACATCTTATTTTTAAACCTATTCCCGCGTTGACGAATTTGCGGATGCCAGTCATCCTGTAAATGGAACGCTTCTTGCGGAGAAACTGTCGATGAGAAAAATCTCTTTGGAAAGAGATTCGAGGAAATGAAAATCTGGAAACGTGGAAGTCTGACGGTTTCATAGTTCGGGGATCTGAGAAATTTGGAGGTTGAGAAATTCGGGATTTGACATATTTGGGATGTGAGAAATTTGAGGTGTGCGAAATTCGGGATTTGACAAATTTGGAATTTGAAAAGTTGGGGATGTGAGAAATTTGGGATTTCAGAAATTCAGGGTTTGAGAAATTCGGGATTTGAGAAATTCGGGATTTGAGAAATTCGGGATTTGAGAAATTCGGGATTTGAGAAATTCGGGATTTGAGAAATTCGGGATTTGAGAAATTCGGGATTTGAGAAATTCGGGATTTGAGAAATTCGGGATTTGAGAAATTCGGGATTTGAGAAATTCGGGATTTGAGAAATTCGGGATGTGAGAAATTTGGGATGTGAGAAATTTGGGGTGTGAGAAATTCGGGATTTGACAAATTTGGGATTTGAAAAGTTGTGGATGTGAGAAATTTGGGGTGCGAGAAATTCGGGATTTGACAAATTTGGGATTTGAAAAGTTGGGAATATGAGAAATTTGGGATTTGAGAAATTTGAGTTTTGTGAAATTCAGGGCTTGAAATATTAAGAGACTTGGAAGTTTGAAGCTTTCAGCTTTACTATACATATTTTTAAAGAAATTAAGGGAGCTGCAAATTGAAGTCTTATCTACATGATGAATATCAGTTCGTCACAAACCTCGACCAAGAAATATTTCATGCCAAATGATCGGCAATAACAATAACAACGATAAGTGAAAAGTTTGAAGACCTTTAATCTCTCGGCTAAGTATAAAAGAAAGCAGCTGTAAAATTGCAGCCATAGTGTATTTGCAGAAGAATGCATAGTTTCTTTATGGCAGGTACAGGGGCAAATATTCCATTAAATATACGTTTATCTTAGTAACGGTATTCTTGTGCACGAGAATCGCGCACACGTAATACACCACCTATTCCGAACATCCGTATTTAATAGCTTCCATCGCAACTTTTTACCTCAACGTTGCCTCTGATGAAATTTCGCTTCGTTCTGCTTGATCTACCTGGTATTTCATGCACAGGTAAGTACAGGACTATTCAAAAAGAATATTGATACTTTAATACTTTATCTGGTGTCATGTATTTGTGACTTCAGTATGCACATTTTTATCGATGATGTTTGTTCGTTAATTTTATGTTGATTAGCTAATTGAATTCTATTGAACTTGTCATTCCTTTGTGTAATTTAATAGAACAAATATGCCTATAAATTATATTGTTCTTTTTATTTTAATGATAAACATCCCTTCTATTTTCAGATTATTCTGACATTTATCAGGTGTCTAATAAATAAACTTGAATGATTTATGCAATACATTTTATTTCAGTCACCCTCATTAGTAGTAACTTTTAGGTAATATAGTAGAATCAAATTTGATCCTGTTAAGGTTAAGTGTGAATAATTTTTTCTGTTGTAAATTAAATAACGCTACATACTATCTAAAAAATTATTTAACTTTTGTATAATTCTATACTGTCTTTATTATATTATTTCATAATGTCATTTTTGTTTAATATTGTAGTGGTATTTTATTCGTATGTAACTTTAATTTTAATTATACATTATTCCAATCATCCTTCATACCAGCTTAAAAAGTACATAAAGATGAAAATAATAAAACAATGCGTCCACATTGAAACCCAACACGAAAAACACTGTGCAAAATTACATTAAATTTCTAAACCAGTGTTAACAATACTTTAGCGATATCATCGACACATTTATGTCTCATAATCGACAGCGGTAAAAGCCCGCCAAAAGTTTCGAACCAGTTCAGATAATAACCTGCAGGCCAAAGTTAATCGACGAGGGCAAACAAATTACGAAAAAATTTATTCAAAGGAAAAGGCAAAAGCTTTGTAGAAAAAGGAATACGGAAATCTGCGCGGCGTCGATCCGTTAAGATTCCAAAGGCGAAAAACTATTTCTGGTAGTCACGTGCGAAGCGCAATACCGCAAAAGTCCCCAGCGTGCCGCGTTTCCCTGTCCCGCATCGGTTAACTTAGATTCCTCGACGAGCTACCCATCAAAATGATAAACTTCCCTCCTCCCATGAAAGAAAGCGGGCCGAGCGTCGGTGCATTTATTTTCGTACTCTACTTACCCCATCTCGGCTGGATAATAGATCGAAATTCCAGCGGGAAAGCGTATTCTGGAGGGACGGGGTTTCTCCTAAATCCAATCACGGCGCCACCGACCGGGAATCGCACCACTATCGGTAAAGCAGACCGATCGATGAAATGCAACGTTGCCGTTTCCTGTCGACTCCTGGAGCGAAGAGTGGGGGCTAGTTAGGATGGAATCGCAAATATTCGGTGACGTTGGTGCACGACCAGGGTGAGAAAAAAAGCAGTGCCGCAAGAACGCGAATTTGTACGGTCCTAGTGAACACGTGGATCATGTGTCCATCGGGTCTGGCAAATAAACGCGTCGTCGGTGAGCGTCGCGGTGACTTTGTTCGCGGCGTCCCACGCAATTACGCAACGACGATCGGCCACAATGAGCGACACCACGCATGAGGGATTCCACAGTGTTTTCGCTCGAACGAAATCTCGTTGAACAGTGCGTTCGCCGGTTTCGCCGTGTCGGAGGTCGAATGTTCGTTTGCAGAGCACCCTGATATACGGGACCCGTGTGACGTTTTGACGACGATGATCCTTTGTGTTCAAGGTTACCATGAGCTTTTGGTCACGCAGACGGTTTCGTATCACGCCGCTACGAGCGTTGGCGGCGTTCCTCCTGATGGTCATGCTGTTCTGGTACAGCATCAGTCGGCAAGAAACACCTAGGCAACCTTGCAGCGTGCCCGAGGAATTCACAGAGAAACTACACGAGCTTGCCTACAGGTCTATATGGTTCTACTGCCTGTAGATAAGTTACCAGATTCGATGCATGCTACATTAGTTCATCCTTGGAATGCTGCACACTTTAGCACTGACTTTAGCACTGCACCGAAAAAGTTAATTTGGGGAAACTTAAGAATACGTTATATTCTGAGTCTGCTTAAATTTTGCAAGCACTTTGTTTCAAAAGGAACCATGATGTTTGCACACTACACTATTTCTCGTTGATAATGTAGGAAACATTGGAATGGTACACATTTGACTCGCGGAAACCTCTGATGATCACAACGTAAACGACATGCGTGGCGCCATTTAGCAGCAATGCGCGGAAACTAAGTACAGTTTCAAAAACATGTAGTTCACCGCAGAGATGGCGCCATTTATGAAATTTTTCGAACGGGTTCATTTATTTATAATTATTAGTTTTTACTAAAACTCAACCTATATATCATATTGTAAATTCAAAATGAATTTAGGAAGCAGTCTTCGAAATTTTATACTCATTTGATCATTCCAATGCTTTAGATTGTGATAGTTACTAGTTAATATCCTACTACGAATTCTGCATCCAAAATTGAATATTCTTTGCCAATTACAAATTTTGAAGATTTAGAAAAATGGAAATTTTGTAGAAATTTGTAAATGTAGAAGTACATGTTTAATTTTTAGAAATACACATTTAGTTTCTGTAGCTATTTTAAAATGACCCAACATTCGTGGTAAGCAGATAAATCCACCAACACAGATAATGAATATCCAGGTGCTTCTCTCTTTCGCGTTTATCGATTACTATGACCTAATAACTATATCTTATTACATGATAATTGTATCGATTAACGAATCAACTTCTATTTATTATTGTTCCTATATGTGTACCCCTAATAAGCACAAACGTTTGCATATTTCTTCCAGTTCAGTCGATAACATTTGTATTTTGTGTTACTTGCCAGCACCTGCAGCCGCCATTTTCAATATAACTTGTATACAAAAATTTACACACCATCTTCAAAACATATACAATAAAGCTTTTTTGTTCCTGACCTTATATGTTATATGATTTTTATTTTAAAAATTCCCGATGATCACCTTTTTCTTTGACTTCTAGTTACCCCTTCAGAAATAGGAGTAAATCCCTTTCCATATAATTCGTTTGCGAGATGCGTCAAAACTAATTATTGACTGCTATAATATTAAAACAGACAAAGAAAATTAAAATGTATTTTATATTCAGCAATCCTTGACAACACAAATTATAGTATGAAAAATTTGAGATATGTCAAAGTACTTGAACCAAGTATCGAGTAATGAAACTCTGTTTTAATTATCAAACGAATAATGAAGTTGAAGTTCGTGACCAAAGTGAAACTTTCAGTAGATAGTTTCCCGCATGACGAGTTTCGACAGTTTAAATTACGTTTAACTTGTTTGTCGTGTGTGACTGCATTAGGGCTCACTTGGTGTTAGCCAAACTGGGCATCGTGCACTTTCTATGCCTCGGAGGACTTTGGGGTCAAGTTCGGATCGGCCGTGCTTTGCCCTGGGCACGTAAGGTCGAACTCTGCTTGGTTGACACGTTAAGAGACGACGTTTTGATCACGAAAGCCTTCCGTGAAGTTGGACTTAGCGCCACGTATTTACACGCAGCTGGTGTCTATCGTATTCAAGAACACGAGGTCGGTGAAGATGCTCCTAAAGTGGAGGTCGTCGTTTTTGAAGAAGATGCTGTGGTGAGTTTACTATATCAATTTTCCTTTGAAAAATAAATTTAACTTCAAAGAGAAATATATTCATCTTTAGGTTCATGAATGCGTAAAAATTACGCATCTTATCCTTATTTTAAATTATAGAAATTATTGAGATACTTTTGATGAAGAATAACAAATTATATGTTTCATCTTTTATATATTTATCGTCCTTTTTTATTCTTAAACTAAAAGTCACTATACAGAGTTTGTAAACCTAATATGTATATATATATATTATATTACTAATACCGATAAAATGTATACTACTTAATCGAAGTTGAAGAAATAAGTAACGAAAGAATGGAAAATAAATTGTTACATAAAAGTATTATTTATCTTCAGAAACTTTTTTTATAAAAGCCTCCTAAAAATTTCAATCACTTGAATCTGCTTTTTTCTTTGCTTTAAATTTAATAATTTATTGATACTGCTATAAGTGTTTAATAAACGCACAGATTTTAATTATTGCGTATTCTAAATATTTCTCGAATTTCATAGTAAATAAAATACTCGTGCAAGGAGTAATTACTTGACCTCTTAAAACAAATCCTCGGAAGACCCAGAGGTTTTATTACCAATTTTAGTATTTGTAAACGATCCATCACCCACGAAACACGAGGCTGTAACCATTCTTAGAACCATAAGATCCGTAAGTTTAAACTGTAGTGTCTTCCGTTACGAGTTGTAAATTTAACGAGGTGCTGCGAATATTCTATGCGATTTACGACACACGTTTTACATATTGCACAACTAGGACAACAGAAGATCACTCCTTGGCAGGAATTTTGGCAATAAACCGGTGAACTTTCTTTTATTAGCATCACTTGAAGCATCGCGGAATGGTTTACTCGCTCCAGTAAGGCGCAAAAGTCGTTCTTTCTGTGAAAAGTAGAAAAGACAATTTTCTGTTCGTTCAAATAGCAAGTTTTTGTTAGTTCTTCAACTGAGTTAGGTAGTATTGTGGTATACGGAGATGTAGATTCAGAATTTTTAGAAAGCGAAATATTGAAATTCTCAAATTACCAAATTTCTAAATTTTCAGTCTTAAATCTGCAAATTTACGAATTCACTAATTTTTTAATTTCCAAATCTTTAAGTCCTCAAATCTACTAATTCCCAAATTCTTAAATTCCTAAATTCCTAAATTCCTAAATTCCTAAATTCCCAAATTCCTAAATTCCTAAATTCCTAAATTCCCAAATTCCTAAATTCCTAAATTTAAAAATCCCCAAATTCCCAAATTGCCAAATCCTTAAATTCTCAGATACCTCAATCCCTAAATTCCCACGTTTCCAAATTACCAAATGCTTAAGTCCTCTAAATTCTCAAATCCCTAAATTCCCAAATTCCTAAATTCTCAATTTTCCAAATCCCCAAATCCCAAATCCCCAAATTTCCAAATCTCCCAACTCTCAAATCTCAAAATTCCCAAAATCTCAAATTTCCAAATTTCCACATCCCTAAATCTGCAAATCTTTCCCAACGCTCCAATATATTCTGCATCACAAAGATTAAATTATAATTATTTTTTTCCGTTGCAGACCCAAATGCTTAGACGAGTGGGTTGGACAAGAAGAGTGCTGCCTCCAGATTGCGAGTTTTCACCCAGCCTTCAATGTTTCCCACCGCAGCTTGTGATACCCCCTTTACCAGCGAAGCAGTTCGGTGGTCGACTAATGCCTGTCCCTAGAGAAGGCATCGAGTTGCAGAAATATCATTATCCTAACGATTGGTGGCTCGAGGTGAAACCCACCGACTGTACCGAGCCCCAAGAAACGAACGCGTAGTATTACTTGATTCGATCGCAGACACCATGGAAAGTTTATATTATTGACTCGAGGAATTGTCTTCTGAGATCGCCATAAAAATTGGTGCTCTTTATCACACGCGATCGTGTTCCAAAGATTCGTTTTTAATCCTTTCGCTATGATGTACGTCGTAACAATATATTATTTAATCATTTGGGTAGCATAAATATAGTTAGGAGTTGATGTTGGATTTTGAAATTATATTGTTACAGAAAATTAGTAATTGGAAACTAAATGTAATAAATAGATTATATTTTTATGAGATAGACAGATTGATTAAATAATCATTTAGGGTTTATGTTGTTAACATTTGTTGTATGGAAAAAATAGTATGAAGTATAGTTAAGTACTTCATATACTTGGTTAATAGTTTGTATTAATGAGTACTTCTTAGCATTCTTATTTCTGTGTCAGAAGTAGTATGCAATTTGTAACATTTTCTACATTATAATTATATAAATTCAGTAACTATAGTTTGGTATATGATTACCTGAGCCTTTTCGTAGACTCCGATTCTCTAGATTTTAGGGAAAGATTAGAAAAGACGTAGAAGAGGTCAGAAAGAACCTAAGTATGTGTCTACCTGAGTATGGAATTTATCTTCAATATTCATTAATGGTAAAGATATGTAATCATCTGTCCATGTATTAAATTAACTTTGAGTTAAAATAATATGCCAACTTTTGTTACGAACATTAAAGTAATAAAGAAATTGTTTATCAACTTTTATCGCACGAGTGTCACAGCGAAAGGGTTAATATACGACATAGGTTCATTTTATAATAAATTTTAGACAGACAATTTTCAAACGAAAATCGAAGAACGAATATGAATGTTTAACTTGGAACTTGCGAATCTTCCTGCTGAATAAGTTACTAACTTTTAATGTGTATTTAAGAGACTGTAAAACTTTATAGAATCGTATTTAGACTGTACGAATTTTCCTGTTAAATGAGTTGTTAATTTTGTATGTGTACTTAGGAGACTGTGAAACTTTATAAAATTCTAGTTAAGATTGCTAGAGAATATTTTTAATTCCGATTCTTGTTTCAAACGTCGTAAATGTGACAGCTTCCGTTTGTAAAGGCTTCTGAATATTTCCGTTCTTCCAGCTAATGATGCTTGATAAGTTTTGATCGATTTTTAGGCTAAAGTGGATCATAGCTAAAACGTGAAACGTTTTAATCTTCGTTTAACCCTTGAAAAGTGGACCACCCAGATAGCGATAATAAAACTTCATATTATATTACCAAGTCTTATATTTTTGACTTATATTTTAAATATCCAGTTTAAGATATTATATCTTCTATTTAAAATATTTATTCAAAACACTAGGGTCCACCGTTCGAGGGCTAACGAATCGTGTATAAATTGTTTTGATCGAAAATTAAAAAAAAAATGAAATTATATGTTGAGAAATTTTATAACACGAATATCAAGAAAATGAAATTTTCGTGTGTATAATTCAAACGAATGAAAGTTAGATAAATAACAAATTAGGAACGATGTTCCTCTCGACCATTATGTTTAGTCAACAATACTGTTTAGAGGCAAGTCTGATTTTATACCCTTTGCACTTTATTAATGCATTAACTGTTCCGACTCGAACAATTAAACAATGGAGAAAAGAAGGACAAGTGGAGTTAATATATTAATAATGTTAGGTGTCAAATTGAAAGTTTTAATTGAAACGTTACATAATATATTAACTAATTATATCTATAGTAAATGATATTGTAATGTGTCATACAATATCGTATGACATTTTATTATTTATATTATTATATAGAATATTTAAATACTTATTTATTTATGTAGGAATATCTAAGTACTTACTTGAGAATATAAATAATAGATATAATAAAATATTATTATAATTTTACATTATCAATATTAATTTTATGAGTGACATATTCATATATTTTGACTCAGATCTATGGAATACGTATTCAATGATAGAAAATTTTCAGATTGGATATATTTACATTTAAGTAATAATATAAAGTATTAAATTAAAAAATTGTTCATCTCCTGAGGAATAATAATTTGAGTGAAATATTTAAACAACATGATTTCAAAGCTTCTACAATAAATTAAAGTTAAATACCTACAATTATAATGAATAAATTCTTCGAGTACTTTTCACAGAAGTCAGTAGATTTTATATAAAATAAATGAAATGTTTATTAAATCAATTAAATATTAAATTTCTATTACGAATCGATCGAAGTCGAACAACGTACAAGGTTTAATTATTGCAGCTCAGTTTCCAGGAATGCAATTCGATATCACTGTGAAAATAACAGATACTATTATTCAAATTCACCACGAGAGCCACGTAAAAATGCGATATGTCTGGTGCATGATTTGTCATCGTTGATGCATCTTGCGTCACGTATGCGACGCGTTATCACATTTGTCTTACCGTAAGATAAGGGGTTGGAACATCGTCGTCATATCGAAAGTGCAAAGGGTTGAATTTCCCATAAATCATACACAGAACCGCAACAAGATGACGAAACTAAGTTATATTTCTCGCTGGAAATTTTTATTGACAAATTTTCTGCATTTTAACATATAAAATTTCCCATTGTAATTACTTTCAATTATTTCTCTTATTTTCAATAGAAGTTTCATTACTTTTCGACCAAATCTATTTCAGAAAGAAGTTTCATGTTTTCCGTCTTTTATTTTCCGAAAATGGTCAACAAATAAAATGGAAGTAAAAGAGAAAATAAACAGAAAACTTGTAACTTTATATATCAATTATCAGTTTTATTGCGGTTCTGTATAGAGGGTGAGGCAACTGTAACACTTAAATTACTTGTATACTCGATATATGAAAACATGACTGAAACAATAGCTCTATAGTATGAAAGAGAAACAATGTAATATCTAGTTTATTGTTAGCTATTTATCGTACAGCTTTTCTTGAATTTTTCGATTGGTGAAATTTTGTTTAATGGGAAAGTTGAATGCTGAATAAAATACTTAGGGCATTAAGAATTAATAATCACCATTACCACAATTAATATTATTGCAAGATATTTATTAAACTTTTCAATTGTCTGTTCAACTTTTATTCAATCATATCCCGGTGAAAAAACAACAGCAATGAATTAATTATTACAAAGAATACTCTACTCCATACCATACTTGTGAACTATTCTTTCAAACTACACTGTAACTTGTCTGATACAAGATGTGCAAGTAATTTAGGTGACACTTACGCGAATCACCGTGTATAACCATTGTAAATGATAATTGCGCGAATTACTTACGATCATTAATCCCTAGTACTTCCTTCGAAGCGTCGAACGATAAATAGACCGAGTATGCTTCCTCCAAAGCTTTAATAAGTATGTACAATTATTTATACGTGTTTGTACTGGCAGCTTTTTATACGCGACCACGAGGAACAAGTTTTATAATTTTTCCACGTTTCTACCAGTGATCCGAGTGAAACCTCCTCGAACTGACATTAACTCTTAGCTAAAACTCTATCGAATAATCTAACGAGGTACATGAACGTAAATAAAACAATTGTGTTAATAAAATTTTATTTACAATGGAAGTAATTTTTATCGACATTATTTATGATGTTTTAAAATTCGTGTCTGTTTGAACCTTTTGTATGTGGACATCATTAATTATCTTTTATGGGTATTGGGTAGCTAATATGCACCTCATTAAAATTATTAGTATCTACTTTCAGTTAATCCAATTCCATTCATTGTTCGCTTTTGTACTTTTATCTCTGACAGTTGAATGCCTTCAAATTTATTTCATTGCTATGGAATTTACGTGCAAAATTTATTGTCTAAATTAATTCAGTTGTTACTTTTTCGTTTATTAACTGTGGCAATATTTGCCAATAATTTTTACTGTGAATTTCTATTTTATTGAGATTTTATGAGTTATGTACTTTCATTTATCTTCGATTTTTGAGACCATCGTCACTCTTTGAATTTATTAAAGCTTCATTAATATTTTATATTTTAATAATATTTGAATTTATAATTATGTATCTGAAATTGTAATATCTTTTCTATTGAATATATCAACTTGTTCGTACATCATCAGTATTTAAATAATCAATATTCATCAGTGTTATATCATCAATATTTATAAGAGTTTTATCTTGAAAAATGTTTGTACTTCGGTATCGAATTGTTTGAATATCATAAATATTCATCGATATATCAATATTTCTGTATTTTTACGAAAAAGTACGTATGTAATGCGATTATCTTGCGGTGTATACCATAAATAAACATATATGTGTCGGTATCGGTTCCATCTTACTAGAATTTCGTGTAAAAACGATTGTTATCTGAAATCGATAGCTACCGCTCTTTTTATCCTGTTTCTTTTATCCGTGTAATTGCCATCGACAGATTGTAATCAACTCCGTACGATAAAAAGATAATGGAACTGTTGAATGCAGGATCGTTGAAGAGTTTGTGAAACTGAAATTTCATACGTTTTTGTGTTTTCTCAACACCTTTGGTTCAATAATTTACAATATTCAAAATATTTTACCAGATTTTAAATGTTATTTAAGTATCTAAAACAGTTTAAAAATATAATAAGTGATAAGAAAAATTACTTCCATTGTTCTGTGTCATGTTCTTAAACATTTAGGTAAAATTTGTCGATTGTTTTTATTTAAATAGATAATTAAAGTATAAATTATTATCTGTATTGTATTATATTGGTACTTGCAATTTATTTACTGTACGATTGCTCTTATAGAAATATCAAAGTAAAATTTAAACTTCTTCGAATTAATTAACATTACCTCTTGTTTAAACTTTTCTGATGTACTCATAACTCCTTAAATTTTCTAAAAATACACGGATTTGTATGTAACTGTTCGTGAATAATTACCAATGTAAATTGTCATAATTGTCTTTAAAAACTTCACACAGTAACAATACTTAATTTATTATACCTTCAATTTAATCATTGCGTTTCTCGAATGTTGTTGAAAAGTAACAAGTGTATATTTAACAGTTACGTTTTGTATTTAAATATGTCAAGTTTCACGAAGCATGTATCAGTACAAAATAATTATACTGATTTAATGATCATGATTACGTTATGCTTCATAGTGTTAAGACATTGTAAAAACACCTATGTATCCATTTATTGTAATGTAACTAATTAAGAATCAAATATATACCATAGGTTGTTAACATTTTATTTTATTTCAAATCTCAAAAATCTGGTGGTATTTACAATTTTATAAATAACATGTTTTATATCTCATAAGATAATCATTGTTTCTCTAAACTTTAACAAAAAATTCGATACTTGACTAATTAATCTTTGACGTGAAAAAATTTGCAATTTACTTAAAAATTTGTCTAAGTTCAAAGTTAAAATAAATTTACAATTAAAGATTAAAAATTTGTTTAAGTTCAAAATTAAAGTAAATTTGCAATTAAAGATTGAAACGTCTTTCAATGAATATATTTGAACATTTCCAATATTCAGTGATCGATTGATAATTTAATCTTTCTTCCTTTCAAGCGAGATCGAAAGTGTTCAATAATTTACGAGGAACATTATGTTTCTCAAGTGCTTGTGCTCGAGAGTTTCGGAACTTTATCAGGTAGGATTACTTCCGGTTTGTTCGATGCTTTCGGATTTACTGACGACGGAAAATGGTATCTTTGACCCTCGAACGCGCGTCAAACTTTTTGGCACCGACGTCGTTCCAGTTTCCGTTGATCCTTTTATTATCCGTGCAGTTTCTCGGTATTAAAGTCGGTCTTCGTAAAATCGCGAAGGCGGGACCAGACACCGGAAATGAAAACGGCTCAAGCTTATCCTGTTTCATCCGTTACAACAGCGTCTAACATCAGGCGTGTCCTTGTTACGCCAACATAATTTAGGTCATGGATCAGGTTTCGATTTTATACTCCCACAAATTATTTTAAAATTACTGTAAAAATCGCGTTGTTCTATTTTTGAGATTATTATGTGGCGATAAATGACTCAAAGTAGTACGAAACCTTTTGATGTGAGTACTGGGAGTCGTGAAAGCTTGTAGATTTCACATCGAAAATGAAAAATTTCTACGTTTCTATATTTGACTGATAGAGTATTTGAGGGTTTACAAATTTCTAAATTTCTAAATTTAACTACTTGAGAATTCGGGAGTCTAAAAATTCATAATTTTCTAAATCAATATTTGGAGCTTAAAAATTTTCAAATCTTTAAGTTTGAAACTTAAGAAATTTGTAAACTTCTAAGATCCTAAATCTAAACATTAGAAAATTTCAAAATTTGCAAGATTGAAAATTAAGGAGAATTATTTCCCAAATTCTTAAGATTAAAAATTCCTGAACATACTTTCTAATTTAAGTATATCGAATGTTTTCCTCATTTAGCCCAGTTCTCCGAGATTTGGTCCAGATAAAAAAGAAAGTCACTAAACGAAAAGGAAGAACATGAGAAGAACGGAGTGGGGGAATATAGAAAAGAAAGTTCAGGTGATGTGATTTTGAGTCATGTGACATCGTTGAACGCACGTGGATCGTAAATGAAATATTATTAACTATTTTGTGTCCAAGTGAAACATCAAATTGTGAATCATATTTCTTCTCTTCTATAAAATGATAAAATAAAAAAAACTATTAAATTACAACTCAAAAATAGTGTTCGTGTCATTACAATTAAAATGATAGTTCTACAACGTTTTAAGATGTAAATTGTAAATTATAATTAATGAAGAAGTAAAATAGTTAATGTAGTGCAGTTTTTGTTTCGACTATGAAGATATTTACACGAGTGAGTATTTATTGTAATTTACGTCATTATCAATTTTATTCTTTTGATTAAACTTGTCTTCTTAATACAATTAACTGTGAATTAGAGCTTTCACGATAAATATTATGAATGATTTTCATATCATTTGCTATGTACATACATTATGAAGCGCGGCGGGTTTCCCTAGGGAAAATACTAAATGTAAAAGCTCGTACACTCATGGTAATACCTGAATAATTAATCTACCAAAGTGATTAATTTCATGAAATAAAATTGCTACTTTTCTTTTTTTGGAGTTGTACTTGTAAATGCCTCTGCGCTGAAATTAAAGGAAATTACATTGGCTTCTGAATAAGTCGTTTGAAAACTTATTCTACATCATATCCGATTTTTCAGGTTAAGATTCATTTAGGGAAGATTAAATAATATTACGAAGTTTCATACAAGTATATAACCGAACAATATTAATTAAAATTTCAGAGTAAATGTTTGAACACGAACGTTGGAGCCTTATTCCTCTATGGCGCCATTTTCTCTAGGGAAGCTTAGCGTGCTAATATAATGTACATTCGTAGATCTACTTAAAATTTTATGTAAATATCTGTTTAAATTAAAGCACTACGAATATTTTACTAATTTCCGAAATATCATAAACCATGAAGAAGCAATGTTGATTTTCCAGTAACATCGTACATTAAGATAATTATTATTAATTATTTTAAACATCTACAATACTTGAATATTTTACTAAATATTTTGAGAAAAAGAAGAAGACAGTAAAGTTAAAATTCTTGTAACAACTTATTCAAATAATTAAAATTCACACATCAAATATTGTTACATTATTTCGTTAATCTTCGATATATTTTAAATAAAAAAAAGTGGTAGAAGCTACAAGGTTAATATAAGAAAGAAACGTAAAAGAATCTGTATGGTGAAGATTCCCACGACATGGACCATTAAAATGATTGTTCAAGACACAAATAGAAAGTAGACACGTCTTTGTGAATACATTCACCTGCTGTTTGATGTGTACTCGTGTGTTTGTATCTGACACATCTTAAAGTACTATGAAACACCGGTTTCTCTCACCACTGATGATATCGTCGATGTTTATCACTGATCTTCCTTGTGGCACTGTTTCATTTTCGAAATTAAAGGAAACAAAGAAACAACGTTGCTTGAAAAAATGTGTTAACAATGAATTTAATTTAATGCATTGAAGAGAGTAACATTCTACTTTTAATCAATCATTATTTCATTTTAAATAAATAGATATGTTGCATCAAATGTATTGTACGTTATATTTTAATATAATTAATGTTCGTGTAAAGTAGAACTCGCTAAATGTGGCATACAAAAGGGCGATATAGCGAAAGTTGTACTCTCGAGAGAAGAAATTGAATTCTTAACATAATAATGTAATTACAATAATGGAACTTGTGAAGAATTATTCATATCGTACAAAAATCTTGTATAATTTATAATACACTCTAGTTATTTATTCCCATCTTGTAGTACTGCTTTCTACTTATATTCTTTGCCCTGGTATTGGAAACCATGGAAACGGATGAGGTATATAAACTGATGAGACCGTACAAGTATTATCAACCCAGACCACCGAAATGGCCACGATCGCATGCAGCTCACAAATCATCCAGGTTCCATCATTTTAAGAGAATACCAACGGAAGACTATTATTCTCGCAGACCAACCTACTATAGGTACGAATTCAATATTAAATTGCACAATAGCGAAATAATGTGAAAAGATAGAGGCAAATTTCAACGTGTTTCATCATTCATTCTCATTAACCTTTTCTTCGCGACATTAATATTGGAAAATAAATTTTAGTAATTTAAAGTAATTCTTTAATTACATATACAAATTTTGTATACAAATTTTAACATTTTCCAGCTTACTAATTTTTAATTCTTTAAACTCCAGAATTACATGTTATAAAATTTCAAAAGTGTAAATGTAAAAATCTTCAAACTTTTAAATTTCTTTTGAATAGCTATGTAAAATTAATATTTCTGAGGTACGTAGCCATAAGTGTAAACAAATTAAAAAGTATAAGGGGCTCATAAAATTCTGAAATTATTATTTCTAAGACATCCTATAGTTCTAAGTGTAATATAAAAAATATTTAAAGTGCTTCCCCACAAAAATTGCAAGATTATTATTTTTAAGATATCCTATAGCTCCAAGTGTAAACCAAATAAATTTAATTGAGCAGTGACATTTAACAAACTTAACCTGTCAATTTACTACTCCGATTTACCGACGCAGAGTAAAGGAAATTTCAGTATTTTCAATATTAAGTTTAATTGCAAAACCACAACGTATTGCTTTCAAATTGATTTAAGCTCGAGTGACTCGACTCACAATAATCGGTTTCTGGTAATTGGATTGAAAACTCCACCATCAGCTGTTTGTACAACAATTCACGTACAGCAGGCACCATTATTGTTTACGAAGAAAATGAGTTTCGTTATAAGGATCGTTCGATTAACGGAACGTTTGTTCGATATTTCAGATATTCCAGTAACGATTTCGATGGACGAGTTGAAAATCAACCTTGTACGATTGTAATCGAGCTACCTAAAGAAGAAAGTAGATATGGTTCCAATTATCGACAAAGAAAAAGGCAGTATGAAAGGGATTCGGTACCTAAGTACATCAGTGAAGAAGACTATATCGATGAAGAGGAGGAAGAGTCGAAAGTGGTCAATGTTAATAATAAAAAAGTACAAATAAAGGTAAGCATCATTAATCAAAATATACATTGTTGAGCACACTAATTTTTATTAGAAGAAGTAGCAATATAAGAGTAGAAAATCCTATTAATTTGTAAACGTTTGGTAAACAAAAATTGCACAAAATAATTTGTTTGATAAATAAATTGAAGAAATATGAAATTATGTAAAAAGAAAAGAGTTTCATGGAAACATAGAAATCTTGCGAAATCACAGATAGAGAATGTTAGACGTGGAATTTTTCTTTATTTAAAAACCTCGTTGTTTGCATGCATGAAGCAGCAATGAACATGACGAGCTGAATTTAAATCAAATTGTGATGCCATCTCAAGCGGATCGGAACGGACATGCCGTAACATAATTCGAAATTCCAGCACAGGAATTGCAAGTCTGGAATCCTGCGTGAATGCATTAACGTAATGGAAACTGTGAATACAGTAAATTTAGCAATGGTTTACACGATTTACCCCTATTATGCTGAATCACTTTTTAATCGGGTGGTATTTGAAGCTGCATTTTGTGAAAATGAGCAGCAATATCTTGTTATGAATGTCAATTATGAGGGTGTGTTTAATAGGAATATATTAACTAATATGATTTGTTGTTGCAATATCAACAATTTATACTATATCTGAGATTGGAAAAATATTAATTAAGTATATTTGTATGGATATCAATTGTAAGGGGGTGTTTAATAGGAATATTTTAACACTTACGATTTATGGTTGCAGCATAAACAATTTGTGTATCTGCAATTGAAAAATATTAAAGTTAAAGTATACTGATGTGAACATTAATTACAAAGGCATATTTAATGAGAAATATTGTTATAACAATTAATAATATTGACGAATAATTAAGTCATGTATCTTTGCGAAACATGAATAGGATAACTAATCAAAGTTTGCTGTTTTTAATTTAATGTCCTTTTGTGTGCTTACAGACAATCAAAGGAAACAATCCAAGACTGCACATTCAAATCTCGAAATCTGATAACCAAAAGAATATAGAATTTGTGGATAAACCTACGAATTTACCGATATTACCAACAATTTATACAAATAGAACAATGAGAACAGAACAATTGAGAAACAGAATATCATTAACATAATTTCTATAATAATTGGATCAAAATATTCGTGTGAATTTATGGAAAATTTGCAATTATGGAATTTTAGCTACAGCGTAACTGAATAGTTATTTAATATTATGCTTAGTTATTTAGTATGATGGGCATACTATCATAAAGACATCTAATTAATTATTGTACAACAATATAATGAATTATAGCAATGCAGATGCTTAAATGAAGGTAAAATTGTAATATAGAAATTTTAATTATCGATAAAGAAATATTCCATTCATAAGATATTTATACTTTAATGTATTTCCTACATTACATTATACTTTATTTGTTATATTTTAAAATTGGTAATAGTAGGTACATATTATATTAAAAAAATTCATTATTCTATATTTCTTATATACCCTAATTTTAATTATACGCAAATGAGGCTAAAAGATTGCATTTAAAAATTTGTCATTAAAAACATATCCTTTCTTAAAAGAATATTTAAAAATAAAAGAACAATCGAATGTAATTTATAAATCAAATCTCTAAATTACGTATAAAGAGTACATCATATATTTTATGATAAAGAAAGAGAAATTTTATTTTGACAATTAAAACGATTATACAAATGAAATATATAATAAGCAACCCGAATATCGATGTTTATTATTGTCTTTCACCTTCTATCAATTAATCACAATGGGGAGAATAAATATCACTTGAATAGAAGGAGTCTGGGTCAGAGTCCTCTAAACAATGGTATTGATTTTCAGCCACACCACTTTCTCCATGGAGCATTGTTTCGGAAAAACGTGATCCATTCAATTGCTTAATAATAGCCTTGTATTGGGTAATCGATTACGAATGCATTGAACCTTCAGAAAATAACCGTCCACTGAAAAGAACATAGAAACAAAAGGCACAAACAACAAAATAAACAATGTGCAATCAAATCGTATATACTGCTTTCATGTGACGTGAATTTGATTAATTGATTCTGCGAAATTCTTTGATTAAAAATTCTTGTGTTTTACCAGACAATGCTAATTAATTTAGCGAAATCATTACGTACACTTTTGTGGAGTAACGAGGTCTTTTAGCTCAAACGTTATGACTCAATTTAACAGATTTGCAGTTTAGATTTTACAATTTTTTTGTAGAGTTTTAAGTTTGGAAGTTTTTGAAATTTTCAGGTGGATATTAAATAGACTTCATTTAGATACGTACTTCGAAATTTAGAAATTTGATAAATTCCTTAATTCCTAAATCCCTAAATTCCTAAATTTTTAAATTCTCAAATTCTCAAATTCTCAAACTCCCAAATTCTCATATTCTCAAACTATCAAATTCTCAAACTCCCAAATTCCCAAATTTCCATATTTTCAAATTCCCAAATTCCCAAATTCTCAAATTCCCATATTCTCAAATTCCCATATTCTCAAATTCCCATATACTCAAACTCTCAAATCCCCAAAATTCCCAAATCCCCAAATTCCCAAAATCCCAAATTCCCAAATTCCCATATTCTTAAATACCCATATTCCCAAATTCCCAAATTCCCAAATTCCCAAATTCTCAAATTCCCATATTCTCAAATTCCCATATTCTCAAATCCCCAAAATTCTCAAATTCCCATACTCTAATTCTCAAATCCTCAAAATTCCCAAATTCCCAAATTCCCAAAATGCCAAAATCCCAAAATTCCAAAATTCCAAAATCCCAAAATCCCAAAATCCCAAAATCCCAAAATCCCAAAATCCCAAGTTCCCAATTTCCATATTCCTAAATCCACAAATACCCAAATCCCAACTTCAAGCTTAAATAAATCACACAAATTTTCAAACCTGTAAATTAAAAAATTTCTAAACTCGGAAACGAGAAAATAGAAACATCGAGAGTACTCCAGACGCAAGAAAAGCGAAACAAAAGCAGTCGCAGTATTTGCAGTTCCTTCAAGCTGTTCAAGAACGATTCGTCGAGCATCGAATGCTCGATCATCGGTATTACACTCGGCAGTGTCGAAAACAACCAAGACGACTAAACAATTTGACGAAAGTCGTCGTACGACGAGAAGTTTCAACGACACTGAACCATTCAAGGGATGAATATTCCTTTTCCAGCAATTTCCTTCTGCCGGATCGTTGTTTCATCTTCTTTGCGGATGTTTTGCTCTGCTGCTTCACCAAACAAGATTTGCATTTCGTTAGAAAGGATTCGTTTATTCGATGAAATTAATTAATAGCTTCTTTATGATTCAAACCTGACGCTTGTTGTTTGAGAAGGAAAGAATCACGTTACGATTTTAATGAATTTATGATTCCTTGATTATTTAATTGGTACTTGTACGTTTTCTTTCTATGAGAATATGCAAGTTTGACAATTTTGAAATTCTTAAATTTTGTTATTTATTAATCTTACCATTTTTTTTTTACGTTTTAGGTCTTTAAGTTTTGTTAGTCTTTGAGTTCATAAATACTCAAATTCACGATTTTACAATTTTTGCGTTCATGAATTGATGAATTCTTGGGTTTTTTGAATTGTTTTAATTTCAAGCTTTATTAATGTATATTTTAATTTTTTTTTCTATTTTCAAACTTATACTTTGTCAGACTATATTAAAAAATTGATGAATTATACGATTTAAAAATTTTTTAATTTTTTACATTTATAAACGAATCTTCGAATTTCTTCAATACATAAATTATCGAATTTTTAAGTCACTTAAATTCACAAACTATCAAATTTTCAAGCTTTTTAAATTCATATATTTCCAAATCTTAAAGCTTTTGAATTCATAAACTTCCAAATCTTCAAACTTGTTAAATCCATAAATTACCAAATATTCAAACTTCTCAAATTCCCAAACTTTCAAATCTTCAAATTTCTAAATTTTCTGAGTTCCCAAATTTCTGCCTTACAGAACTTCTACATTTGCGCAACTTCCGCCATTTCCTCGGCGTGCTCTTTTAAAATCTTGTAACAATAAATAATTGCAATATAAAGTGCAGTTACAGTTCTCTCTTCTTTCATTCCTTCGTGCATTGGTTTTTATTTTCTCTCTTGCATTCGCGTTTTCTCTCCGCCTCTTTTTCCTTCTTTCTCTCTTTGATCGCTGTACTATCGATAACGTGAAACAGAGCATCGAAAAATACACTCATGGGGTTATTCGTTTCCTCTTACAGGCACGATACGTTTCGTCGGAAAATACTGTTCTAGTCCGGAAAATTTCTCTCTTTGAACGAGGACAGAGCTATGCGCTGAATATTTTATTATAAAAAGAAATTCGGTCGAGAAGAAGCGACAAGTTTCGTTATTTTCTTCCTGAAAATATTTTCGGGTTCAATTTATGTTTTAGATTATACACAAATTGTATCATTCGGTGAAACCGTAAAGTAATTCGAAAGAATATTCTTTGATATATTTTTTATCGTTTATTTGTTTAAAATTTTTACTTGTTATAATATTTGTAATTATTATTTTTTTAGACCTTTGCATTATTTTGGCGAGTCTTGTGACGCACTTCGTGATCAATTTTACTCGAATTTAGAGGTCAAGTTTAGAAGTCGAGATTGAATTTAGAGGTCAATTCCAATTATTTTCATGGTAGATTGATACCAAATTGACACAACATTTCAACTTTCTTTATTTGTTTTAATATTGCAGCTGTGATTAGTTCTGACTGAAGCACCTGACAAATTATAGAGCAAGGGATGAATGTCCTCAACTTCACTTTATTCTTTCATATTAAATAAAACTTGTGAATACTGAAATTTAATTAAATGGTGGAATTGTCTGAAAGAATAATCTTGACATTATTCGTTTTTCTGCTTGTCACAATTATTGTATATAAATGCTAAATCCTGTGTTTAATATATTCAATATCACCCACAAGGGAACGTACTTTAATCTGGAGACGCGAAATATTAGGAAACTTTGTAAATACGCAAGAGATGTAATTTTCTGCTGTCCGTTTTCGGTGAAAAGGGTTGCAAAATAATCTGGAAGTTTCTGTTTCAGAAAAGTTGGGTCATGTAGTGTTTTCTTGCTGATCGAAACGTAAAATTGTTTTTGGAATCAAAACAAGTATAATGCTAACGTATTTGAAATTTTCAGGATTTTTGTTAATTATTGTTATTATTTCAAATTTCTTAAATTTTCCAAAAAAAATTGAAATTTTAGGGTTTTTAAATTAACAAATCCCTAAGTCATCAAATTCCCAACATTTTTCCCTTTCTGAATTTACAAATTCCACAAAAGTTTCAAAATTCCTTAAATTCTAAATCCTCAAAGTCTCTAAATCTGCAAATTTACAAATCTCCCAAAATCTTCAAAATTTCTAAATCCTTGAAAAATCTCTAAATTCTCAAAATTACAAATCGTTGAAAAACCTCTAAATTCTCAAATTCCCAAATTCTCTAAAATTTCCAAATGCTTCAAAAATCTCTAAATTCCCAAAAACTTCAAGATTCCATCATTTCCAAAATCCTAAATTTCCAAATTTATACTAGTACTCCCCCAACACCTCCAACTATAAAAAATCCCCAATCCCTCAAGTTCCTTTCCAAATTCCATAACTACAGTTATAGTTACACTTTTCCTATAATATCAAAAGAACACCTCATTTAAATACGGAATCTTAATTAAAGGAAACTGTGCATAATTACAAAGATCCTAATACAAGGTACATACAGTTCACTTATTTTCGAAGAAAGGGAAATGCGACTAGTAGAACATTTTCTCAAGAGATAATGCTCAGCAATTGGATCATTTCTCGTAAAACCTTTCGACCACTTTTCATCGCGTTCAATAATCGTTTTCATCGATCCACGTCAATCCCTTTAGGAATATTCATCGCGGAAACGGCGATAATCGAAAATCGATGAGGGACGTCGGTAAGCAAAGTACACAATGGATGAACTAAGACCTGACACTTGATACGTATTATCAAGGGTTTCTCTTCGTCCTCGATTCGGATTGAAAAACAACATTTGCTGTGACCACTGGACACAAAGAAGAAATTTATCAAGGTGTTTCTTTTTTCTTTATATTCAGTTTGTTAAAGGACATGTTTGAGCGAAACTGAAACACAATGATTTTATCGCTCATATAAAA